CTCTTAAGAAGAGGGCGTGATCTTGTATTTTTGGTTCATGGGTAAAGAGCGAAATACACCACACAAGCGGTTTGACAAACCAAGCGAAATTTCCCTTTGCTTCAAGCCATTTGTGCTGTGTATGGGGGTGTTTGAAGGTTTGACGGCGGTTTGTCAAACCTTCAAACACCCCCATACACAGCACAAATGGCTTGAAGCAAAGGGAAATTTCGCTTGGTTTGTCAAACCGCTTGTGTGGTGTATTTCGCTCTTAAACAAAGAATATGGCGAAGAACAATGAGTTGACAGTTGTGAATTTGCAGTGAGAAAACGTGTTTTCTTCACGATTCACCAATTTCTCAAGCCATCTTTGAATATGGCAAATTAAGCACAACGTTAACAAAAAATATACAACCACTCTTGAAATGTGTTCAAAAGAATAGGTCTTATTAATTAACTATTTAGAATTTTCGTGTTTGTATTGCAGGTGCCGAAAAAGTGATAATATCTTGTCGCAGCACATGTTTTCCTGCAGAATGTGGTCGATGCTTGCTTACCTCCGACTTTAATTTGTAATTTGTGGTATTTCAACGTTTTCCTTACGCTGGTGTCTAAATTGTATGGATTCTCCTGCCGGCAGAACTCTACCCACTTTCGGGTTAAGGCGTCGTCGCGGGGAAACAAAAACACCGCATTTGGGGCCTTTGGCCCTACGGCTGCTGCAATTCAACACACGACACGACATTTTTATAAAGTTTTTATTATAAATAAAGCGTTTTTTACTTCAGAACGCACGAATTACTTCGATTTTTCACTTGAAAGTACACAATACGTTTGCACTTGTTTATAAACAAAAAGTATAGTTGCGATCCCGTACGAGTCCGGACTAGTCAGGATCAGTCAGATTTTACTGGAAATCGATCCCGTACTCGGTTCTCTGACTATTGAGAGGACAAAAAAGAGAGTAAATTCGGTTCTCTCTCTGTCAAAAGTTACCAGTTTTACAGGCTAACCTAATATTCGCGGCTTGCGTTTTGGTACGCATGCCGTCGAATTTGTTTTTTTGCGTCACCCGAAATTGACTTGCATGCCATGAACGAAAGACACAAGATCACGTAAGAACAAAACAGTGAAAAAAGTCGATTTTTTTTAGCGGGTTCTACGCCATCTTGTTTCACTGGAAAACGAGGAAAAAGTAAACAAAGCAAAGAAAACAACGAAAACCAAAATTAGTCAAAATTATTGTCAACCACTTTTAACGCACAATATAGGTAAAATGATGCAACAAAATGCTTTAATATGTTATCATGTTGAATTAACTCTTCTTTACTTGAATAAAAGTGTAAAATAATGGTGCTTGTGATGTAAACAAACGCTCAGCTGACGAACCCGCTTTCGCAAATTTTTTTCTCAAAACCAGTTACAAATACAACGTCGCGTTCTTACGTGATCTTGTATTTTTGGTTCATGCTTGCATGCGTTTGCATTTGATTTCATT